AGTAAAAAATACAAAATCAGCTAGGCATGTTGGTGGGTGCCTGTAGTCCCAGCTACTCAGGAGGCAGAGGCAGGAGAATCGCTTGAACCGAGGAGGAGGAGGTTGTGGTAAGCAAAGATCACACCATTGCACTCCAGTCTGGGCAACAAGAGTGAAACTCCGTCTCAAAAAAAAAAAAAAAAATTAGAAAAAGAAAAAGAGAAGGCAGACACCAAAGACCACATAGTGTATGATTCTGTTTATATGAAACGTTGAGAACAGGCAAATCTACAGACAGAAAATAGGATAGTGACAGCTGACAGGGGCTGGGGGAGGAGTGACAGCTAATGGGTACAGGGGTTCTTGGTTTCCTTTCCTTTTTTTGAGACAGGGTCTCACTGTCATCCAGCCTGGGGTAGGCACAATCTTGGCTCACTGAAACCTCTACATCCCGAGTTCAAGTGATCTCCCACCTCAGCCTCCCCAGTAGCTGGGACCGCAGGTGCCCACACCAGGCCTGGCTAATTTTTGTTTTTCTTTGAGATGGAGCTTCACTCTCATTGCCCAGGCTGGACTGCAATGACACAATCTCAGCTCACCACAACCTCCACCTCCCAGGTTCAAGCGATTCTCCTGCCTCAGCCTCCCGAGTGGCTGGGATTACAAGCATGTGCCACCATGCCTGGCTAATTTTGTATTTTTAGTAGAGATAGGACTTCTCCATGTTGGCCAGGCTGATCTCGAACTCCCAACCTCAGGTGATCCGCCTGCCTCAGCATCCCAAAGTGAGGGGATTACAGGCGTGAGTCACCTAGCTCAGCCTAATTTTTTGATTTGTCATAAAGAAGGGGTTTTGCCTTGTTACCCATGCTGTGGGGTTTCCTTCTGATGAGATGAAAAAATTCTGGAATTAAGTAGAGGAGATGGCTGTACAGCACTGTGAATGTACTAAAAATGAACTGTACACATTAAAATGGAAGAAATGGTGACCTTTATCTTATACAAATTTTATTTTGATTTTTTTTTTTTTTGGTCTGACATTACCCTAGGCTTGCCAGTAAATATTTTGATTTTTTAAAAAGGACAATGATGAGTTGAAACGTTTAAGGACCTATCAGTAGAGATGGTAAGAAGACAGCACACGGCCGGGCACGGTGGCTCATGCCTGTAATCCTAGCACTTTGGGAGGCCGAGGTGAGTGGATCACCTGCGGTCAGGAGTTCAAGACCAGCCTGGCCATCATGGTGAAACCCCATCTTTAAAAAAAAAAAAAAAAAAGAAGAAGAAGAAGACAGCACAGAAGAGGGCAGGGCTGAGACTCGGGGCAGACAGAGCACGCTCCCCCCAGCCTCCTGCTGTCAGGGGGGCACCTGGAGCCCTGAGGCCTCACTCCTGCCTGACCACCTGCCTGCTGGCTCCTCACCATCTGGCTTCTGCGGCTTCTTCAGCTCCCACTGACCCCCCGAGTGAAGGCTGCTCGTCCACACCCACCTGGCCTCGGTGACGTCAGCAGTGTCTCCCCTGCACACGCTCTCCAGCTGCACGTAGACCGAGCAGTTGACCCGGCTCCACTCAAGGTCACAGAAGACCAGGATGTTGGGGCGCAGATGGGTGATTGTGTACTTGGTCAGGTCCGTCAGAGACTGGCTCACAGCAACCCCAAACAGGAAGGTCCTCAGCACCTTGTACACCGCAGCCACGTAGTTGTTGAAGTCGGAGTGGGAATAGAGCCGGTCTGTGTGCACCAGGTAGGCTTCTCCCGCCGAGACCTGCGCGTGGGGCAACCGCAGCGACCAGCGGGGGTCCCGGTCAGCCCGTGGGCCCTCACCAGGCCTTAGTCCTCCCCACAGGCCTCCCCAAGGCTGCTGCAGAGCTGGGGACTCTAAAGGGGCCCTAGCCGGTTTCTGTGTCTCACGCCTGCCATCCTAGCATTTTGGGAGGCTGAGGCGGGCAGATCACCTGAGGTCGGGCATTCAAGGCCAGCCGGACCAACATGGTGAAACCCGTCTCTACTAAAAATACAAAACTAGCTAGGTGTGATGGCGCACGCCTGGAGTCCCAGCTACTGGGGAGACTGAGGCAAGAGAATCACTTGAGCCCAGGAGGCGGAGGTTACAGTGAGCCGAGACCCTGCCATTGCACTCCAGCCTGGGCAACAAGAGTGAAACTCCATATCAAAAAACAAAAGGGGGTTCCTATTACCCACAAGTACCACTCGGGGCAAGGCTGTGTCCCCCAGCCCCCCACAGACCTCCAGGCCACCCCCCATCAGGAACCCAGGGTAATGCTGTACCCCATCCTGCCCCCTCCCTGTCCCTCTGAACCGCTCCTGCCTTACAAGGATGACGGTGGCCGTGATGGTGACCCCGGCCATGAGCCCATGGGTGATGGTGTCTGGCCGTTAGGAGTTCCGGTTGGAGTCATGCCCGCAGTAAAATCCTCACTTATACGGGGCGTTCACCAGCGATAGGACAGCGAAGGGCAGGGAGGCTGGAGGGGGAGAAGGGCCTTGGAGCTGCGAGGTTCTCCAACCAGCTGGGCCGTGGGGCCCCCACACCTTCCTTGCCTCGAGGCCTCCCACAGACAGCAAGGAAGAGCTTTTCTCACAGCACGTGGGAGGCCCAAGCGACACCCCTTTCCCATCGCCCTCAGATGAGCACGAACTCCCCAGGCCCTCTCCCCCTCACACCCTCCCCTCTGCTCCTTGAACAAACCTGGCAGACACTCACCTCAGGGACTTTGCACAGTCACTTCTCTCTGCCCAAAATATCTTATTTTATTTTTAAAAGTAGAGACAGGGGTCTCATGCTGACCAGGCTGGTCACAAACTCCCGGGCTGGAGCGATCGCCCAGCCTCAGCCTCCCAAAGTGCCGAGATTACAGGTGTGAGACAACGTGCCAGGCACCACAGTGACTCTCACTTCCGCTCAGTTTCATCTCCCCTCCCGGCTGTCCACACCGGCGTCCCTCTCATAAAAGGAAAGGTCTGTCTGGCCGGGCGTGGTGGCGCATGCCTGTAACCCAGCTACTTAGGAGGCTGAGGCAGGAGAATCGCTTGAAACCGGAAAATGGAAGTTGCAGTGAGCCGGGATCGCGCCACTGCACTCCAGCCTGGCGACAGAGCGAGACTGTCTCAATTTATAAAAAGAAAACAAACAAACAAACAAATAAATAAATAAATGAAAATAAAAGGGAAGATCCGCCCTTTTTCCCTCTTGTCCATGTGGAATTATGCAGTCACCTGTGGGGCACTGGACTTAACCTCCCCCGCTCCACCCGCCAGCACCAGGAGGGGCCTATCGTGTTCAGGACAGAGACCCTGGAGGCTGCTCAGAGCCTGGCCAGGGCAGATGTTTAATAAACATCTGTTAAAACAGGCAGGACTTATTTCAACCTTAGAGCTGGCCAGAGAAGTCAGGAAAGGGCGAAAGCAGGGGCACAGCGGAGGTGCCTTCATGCTTGCCCCTGCCCATCACTGACTCTCATGCCAGGGCACATGCCAGCCACACGGTGACTCAGGGATCAAAGGCATATTCTCCTGAATTCCACACTTACGGAAGGTGTCACATGGCACTGGGGCTCCAGGGGCCCTGCTGAGCTGAGGGTGGCCAGGGAAGCTGGAGTCAGCTACGGAGGGCAGCGGCGGGGGCGTCTCCCTGTTCCACGCGGCAGGTGCACAGCAAAAGCCCGGGGTGTCTACCCCAGAGAGAAACGAAGGCAGGGCGTCCTTTGGCCCAGCAGGGCAAGGACAAAAAAGCGTGGCTCTTCTGAATTCTGAGAGTCTGAGGAGGGACAGGGAGCCTCACACTCCTCCCTGCATGCCAGCTGCAAGGGTCCTAGGACACGGCACACCTTCGATGCTGGTTGAGTCTGGGGAAATATGCAGTGAAGACAGCAGAGGTCTGCCTCACAGGGTAGAGGGAATGCAGAACAGAACGGGCAGCGCAGGGGCCCGGAGCAGGGATGGTGCCTGGGGAGGCGAGCGCTGGCGCGGGGGTGGCTGCGCTGTAAGAGCCCGGCTCCTGCTGGGGCGCAGGGGCGGCTGGTGCCGCTGTAAGTGAGGGCAGAGACCAGGGAGGAGGCTCCTGCAGTTGCCGGCGGTGGAAGGTCAGGGTCGCAGGCCGCTGACAGCAGACTCCAGCCTCTCCCCCGAGGCTCTCAGCAGGCGGAGGCTCACACCCGTTGGCCTCCGTTTCCGACCTCCCTGCCCCAGTAACTCCAGCTAGAGACTCGGACACCTCCATGACAACCGGCCCCGGGCTTCCCTCTGCCTGGAAAGCTCGCCTCGGGGTCCCCAGAACAGGCACCTTCTCTTCATTTGACCCCCGGGAGCCTTCCCGCCCTCACGCTGCCCCCACAGCCCCGTCTGGAACCTGTGGACTGCACTGTGACGGGTCGGGGCTTCCAGATGGAGGTGCCCTCGGCGGGGCCGCCACCCCTGGCACGCAACAGCCACACCCAACTCCACCCCAGCAGCACCTCCCTCCAGCAGGCGACTCCGTGAGGCTGCCCCTCCCTCACAGGCTGTTGTAAGGAACGGTTTCGGTTCTCTGCATGCTGCTGGGCGCCTGGCAGCCAGAAAGTGTCACACACGTT